GGGGAGGGGAGGGGTCTTGGTGACTGCTAAAGAAGCACAAAAGAGAGGACATGAACAATCATAAATCTTGTGATGAAAGCGGACCTCGACTACTGTAGGCTGTGTTGCAAACCTGCGATCTTTCCCGGAGTAGAACGCATGGTCATTACCGCTGTATTTGGGGCAACTTTCAGTCTAGATACGGTGTCAATGACCGTGTGTTCTATTTGGGGGAAGGCGGAAGCGTCTTGTAGATATCGTCCACTCTATTCCCATTATCTGTGACTGTAATTTTTTTTTTTAAAGAGCAAATGCATCCTCGCTTCCGGAACTCGTTCATTTATAATTCAAAATTAATTTAAATTAATAAATAAAAAGAACAATTTAAGAATCCTCTAGACTTTTTCCCTTTTGTTTCCCCCCCCACCCTACGAAAACACCGCACACAGACACGTATTGTCGTTTTGTAATATCTGCTGCCTCTGACATGCTCTTTTTTTTTTTTTTGTGTGTGTGTGTGTCGTTGTTGTTATTGCCGTCGACCTTGTTGTGTGTGTACTCAGGCACCTTGCTGGTTTCTTTCTCTTCGTGGGGTTAACGTACTACACGTGGGCGAGCACTCCGAGGTTTCCACATCTTCCGCACCTTCCGCATCTTCCAAACCTCCCTCACTTCCCAAACCTGCCGCATATGCCGAACCTGCCGCATATGCCGAACCTGCCACATCTTCCTGACCTTGCGGAATTGAAAGCGGAAGGCGCATATGCGCTAGGCTTCGTCCGGGATTCCACTGCAAGCTCAGCAACAAGCATATCTGCGGTGAGTAGATCTTATCATATAACACTCCGAGGAAACAGTTTGTCTCAGCCCCTCGTTCGTTGTCCTCTTCTCTCCCTCCCTGTCTGCCTACTGTTTACCTCGCAGTTCTGTTTTATGATATATAGTTCTGTTTGACGATATATATGTTGTCCTCTTCTCCTTCTCTGCCTATGGTATATATATACCTGATGAGTCGGTGAAACTCCGATGAAACAGTTTGTCACAGCCCCTCGTTTGTTGTCCTCTTCTCTCTCTCTGCCTACGGTTTACCGGGCAGTTCTATTTGTGACGATATATATATATATATTGTCAAATAGAACTGCCCGGTAAACCGTAGGCAGAGAGGGAGAAGAGGACAACAAACGAGGGGCTGTGACAAATATATATATATATATATATATATAACAGTTTGACACACCCCCTTGTTTGTTGTTTTCTTCTCTCTCTCTGCCTACGGTTTACCGGGCAGTTCTATTTGACGATATATATATATATATATATATGCTCGTTTGTTGTCCTCTTCTCTCTCTCTGCCTACGGTTTTACCGGGCAGTTCTGTTTGTGATATATATCGTCACAAACAGAACTGCCCGGTAAAACCGTAGGCAGAGAGAGAGAAGAGGACAACAAACGAGGGGCTGTGACAAACTGTTTCGTCGGAGTTTCACCGATGAGTCGGTGAAACTCCGACGAAACAGTTTGTCACAGCTCCTCGTTTGTTGTCCTCTTCTCTCGCTCTGCCTACGGTTTTACCGGGCAGTTCTATTTGTATATATATATATATTTCGTGGGTGTTTTGCTTGCTTGTGATGGGGTGTGAACCGACAGTCTGTAGAGTTTGCCATCTGGTGTGGGTGAGTGATAGTCTGCTTTGACTTTTGCCACAGGTACATTGAGGGCAGTGGTTGGTGCCCACGTCCTCAGAGGTGTATCAGTTGTCGGGCAGTCGTTGATGCTTAAGGTGGATTATCACTTACAGTGTAATCAGTTAGGGTATTCTGCAGACTGTTGAGGGTTCAGCCTCCTGATGAGTCAGTGAAACTCCGACGAACAGAGGCTATCTGTTTACCGGGCAGTTCTGTTTGTGACGATATATACATATATATCGTCAAACAGAGCCTGCCCAGTAAACCGTAGGCAGAGAGTGAGAAGAGGATAACAAACGAGGGGCCGTGACAAACTGTTTCGCCGGCGTTTCACCGACTCATCAGGAGGCTGAACCCTATGTTTGATGATAATATATATATTATATATGTATATTATATTTATATTCATATTCGGTGAAACTCCGACGAAACATTTTGTCACAGCAGCCCCTCGTATGTTGTCCTCTTCTCCTCTTCTCCCTCTCTGCCTACGGTTTACCGGGCAGCGGGAGTTCCAGAAGAATGAGAAAAATGAATGGTTTCAGTGTACCCCTGATGTTGGGCTTGTGTTTTTTTTTCTAATTTTTACCATTTGTCTTGCAAAGTGCACTCTTTTAGTTCATAGATATGTGACTATATATAAACAGATATACCTCTTCTCTCTCTCTGCCTACATTTACCGGGCAGTTCTGTTGGTGACGATATATATGACGAGTATTGTTATACTCATGAGCCTCCTGATGGGTCGTTGAAACTCCGATGAAGCGGTCTGTCACAGCCCCTCGTTTGTTGTCTTCTTCTCCTCCGATGCCTACAGTTCAATGGGCAGTTTTCTATGACTATGGGCCTTGCGGCACCGGTCGCCTGATGTGAAAAAAAACAAAAATATACCGGATGTATCTTTCCATGTTCTAGCGCGATAGACATCCTCATTTTGTACACTTGGTGACCGGGTGCGGCGAGGCCCTTCATATATCGTACTGCTGGCAAAGCTCAATCCTTGAGGTTACAGATATGTGACATTATGTATACTGACTCTGAGGGCATACTCACACTAGGACTTTTTCAAGTCGTCCACGGACGCAATTTTGGTCAGGTGCATCCAGTCGTGGCCGTAAAGCGGTCAGATACATCCACTCAAGTTCACATGTGTGTATGCCCTATGTGGAAAACCTTACCTGTTCCATTTGGTTTGTCGAATTGCACCTTTTTTTGGCCAAAAAAGATAAAATAAAAAAACTCCTCCCACTCTGTCTGAAGCTCCCCCCCTACCCCTCCCCCCCCTTACTTTGTGGAAAACCTTTCCTGTTCCATTTGGTTTGTAGAATGCCCAGTTTCTATAGTAACTGTATTTGGGGCGACTTTCAGTCTGGATACAGCAAAAATAGAACGATGGTATTATTTGGGGCGACTTTCAGTCTGGATACAGCAAAAATGACCCAGCGTTCTATTTTGGGAGAAGATCATAATGTGAGTATGCCCTACGAGTTGAAAGTTGAAGGCCCGTCTGTTTGTTGGTTTGTTTGTTTGTTTTTTTTTTTTTTTTTTTTTTCAGGGAAACCCTGCCGGTCTTTTTTTTTTTTTGAAAGCCTGCCAGACTTTCACTCTCTAGCTTTAAAAAAAAAAACAAAAAACAAAAAAAAAAACAACTCCTATGTTTAATCCACTTATCTTTGGTTAATTTCGAACCCAGGTTACTCCTTAACTGTGCGTCAACACCTTATCTGACGACAACTTTTTGTTGTGTGTGTGTTCGATGTTGGGGGGTTGGGGGTGGGAGGGGAGGGGGTGTTAACAGTCCATCCCGAAGTTTGTGCGGCCAATCACGCGATGGCCATTCTTTCTTTTTCTGGCGGGCGCAATGTTTTGTCTCTTCTCAAGTAGCGTATGTCATCTTCTTTCCTGTTTAGGAAAGAGGACGCATGAAATCATTTGGAGGTTTGACTATGTGGGGATCGCGGCAATGATTGCGACTTCGTTTTACCCGCCGGTTTATTACAGCTTCATGTGCAGTCCCTGCGTGCGAAACCTCTATTTGCTGTGCATAACCGTCCTCGGCATCTTAGCGATTCCGGTGTCGCTCATTCCGGCTTTTCAACAGCCCAAATACCGGCCGGTGAGGGCAGCGCTCTTTGGCGGCATGGGAGTGTCGGGAGTCGTTCCTTGCATGCATAAGCTCCTCGTGTTCCACGGTGAACCAGTGGCCTACCAAACGGCCGTCCACGAGGTTATCATGGGCCTGCTGTACGGCCTCGGGGCGGTCGTTTACGCAATGCGTGTGCCTGAGAGATGGAGGCCCGGCAAGTTCGATCTAGCCGGTCACAGTCATCAGATCTTCCACGTGTTGGTCGTTGCCGGCGCGTACACGCACTACAAGGCTGGTCTCCTATATCTGCAGTGGAGGGACAGCACAGGGTGTGGATTTGACGGGTAGACGGAGCAGTGCATTTTCTGCAGCGTTGACGATCCCTGATCCCTTCTGCTGCGCTACGTGGACGGATTGTTCTTTCAAGCGCTCGCACACACACATGGTGGAGCCCATTTTCGATGCAGGGAGAAGGGGATCGTAGACGGCCGCCTGGGGTTATCTCGACAGGCAGGAAGGGGGATGGATGACAGACGATGCCTTCATTTGATATCGAAATCTGTGAGCCACTGCATGTATGACCATGGGTTGTCGCAGGAAGGCTGGTCAGCTCTTTGTCGGTTGTCGCAGGTTGATGTACGTGCACTAAAACGCTTGCGAATGAGTTTGTGTATAGGCATTCTGTTTTCACATGTGACGGTCACCTCCGCTCCGGTTCATCCTCTTGTTGCCGGTTACTCTTCAAACTCGCCGTTGCACGTCTATGTACTGCAGTAAATAGGCTCGTCGTCTCTCTATCTTGTAAACGGGGGTGGGGGGGGGGGGGGGGGGGGGGGGGGGGGTAGAGCAGACGATGCATGCATTGTATGGCCAAGGTGTTGGCTGGCTGTGCTTATCTCTACTGTAGGGGGGAGAGAGAGAGAGAGAGAGAGAATGGGCTACGCGTTCGACGAAGTAGGACTTATCTGGTAAGTCCGAACTTTTGACGACTCGTTGGTCGCGTCACACAGTCGATTCTCTGTTTGTTTTTCGTTGCTGATGTGTGGTCGCACACGTTGAAAGGCTGGTCTTATTTGTCTGTAGACTCTGCACCAACTTTGACTCTGCAGTGTAACGAGAAAGGGCGAACTCGGCTGCACGTACTCGGGCTTCGAACACTTGTCGTCTTGTCAGTGCGTGCGTCACGCAGTGGATATCCTCTCTGTGTCTGTTGTTGCAGAACTTTTATCGCACACAGCGCAAGGCGGGTGGTCTTCGCTGTCCACTCTGTCCGAAGTAAACACACAGCACACACTCAGCCTTGGACAGACGGGCATCGCTCTGCTCCGTCTTCGCCCTCAAGGTGTAAGAGTGTCTTTAAGACTCTACAAACTCTATACCCCTTACGGGAGGGATAGAACGGAGCTTTCGGGGAGCCGACATCATGTCGCTCGCTCGGTGTTCCCTGTCACGCGCTCACAAGTTGGCAATGGTGTGTCTTTTTTTTTTTTCTTTTGCTTCCCTTGAGTCAGTGCCAAGGGTTTGGCAAAAAGCAGTCTGACAACGCCGTGCCTTGGATGGGTCGGTACGGGGTTGAAGGTTCTTCGTGGGTGTGCTAGAAGTCAGGTTGCCCTCTGCTGATAGAGGGGGGATCGATTGCGAAGGTCGGGCATCTATTAGAGGGGTATGCCTCTGAGAGGTGTAGGTGACACGGTTGTTGTGCCAGGTAGTCGCTGCTCTAAGTACTCCAGTAATGGTTTGGAAAGCTGCGCAGCTTTGTGGCTTTGGCCCACGTCGTGCAGCCTTTGGTGTTGCCCCTTTTTTCTTTTTTTTGCATACTGCGGTCAGTGCGGAACAGTTGCTTGACCATGCTGTCTAGTCAATGTGGCTGTTGAGTTGCATGGGGTGATTGGCTAGCTGGAGTGGTGCTTTGGGTTGGTCCGTGTACCGATTACTTGTCAGTAGTTCGGACATTATGGTAACGACTCTCGTGGTCTGTTGCATTGTCGTTGTCATCGTCATCGTCGTTGTTGTTGTTGTTCTCGTCGTCGTCGTCATCGTCGTCATCGTCGTTGTTGTCGATGTCGTCGTCGCTGTTGTCGTCGTCAGAGGATAGCAGGAGGTCGGGGAGGATTGTGAGGTGATCTCCCAAATAATAGGTTGCCACTGTTGCTAGGTTGAGG